TTGCTTCAATGCCTCTACCTCTTCTACCATCTCTCTGCCTTACATACCCCTTTACAAATTTCGATCGTTCTCTCTTTTACCATACCAAACTTGGTATGATAACTCTCTATGCTTTCTAACCAATGCAGCAATGTAGTCTTCTTGTTCATTCAACTTTTGTCTTAATGTGCTTTGGTAGCTATTCAACATGTTATTCTCTGTCTGCACTTAGGAATTTTCTTCTTCAATTCAGCATATTCTTATTTCAATCACGCATTCTCTTCAATCAGCTCATCAATTGTTATCTCTTTGGCTTGTACCCTCACACATAACCTCTTATGTTCATGGTGTAACTCTGATAAGTCTTTGACAGCCATGTCACGTTCCTTAGCAATCTTACAAACTTTGACTTCATGCTTTTCAGCTCTATCTTTCCATTGATCCTTCTCCTCTCAAAGCTTTTGGATTTCTTACTTTATCTTATCTTTTTTATATTTAAATTCTTTTGTCATAAGCTCCAATTCGGATGGTGTCTCTTCAAACTTTTCTCTTGTTGGCGATTGGAAGCTTTCATAAGTGAATACCATTTCCTATCTTCGTCTTGCTCTCCAAACCAAGTACCCCTGAGTGACTTTATTAGTGAATGGTTCATGACTCACTCTATGAGGATTTTTCCATGCTTTAATCATTTCATTCATCCTCTGAAATGCTTTTGGCTTACTGTAAGAAAAATCTGATTAATGAAACTCATGCGTCATGGGAATGAACTGTTTTACCCCAAACTACCTTCTCACTAGGAGTGGTGCATAACTTGTTACTCCCCATAAACCCAGTAGTGGGACCACAGTCTTATCTCTACACTGATATTGCATAGGTTCATGATTCATCCATGGGACCAACTATCTTACTTCAGTGCTTGTCAGTTTTTGTAAAAAAGCTACCCACTCTTTCTTAGACTTTTCTTCTGAACACCCACTTTCACAGAATTCTTTTATCGAAGCTTGATTAGGAGATAAAGCTTAAAGAAAGCACCTTTTCTCCATTCGAAGTAACTTTTCATCCATAGGTACAATAATTGTATGCAGCCTATAAAATGCCCTCTATTTCAACGATAGCAAAAAGATTTGACAGTTTCTACTAATATTACCATTGAAGAGTTACACTATTAATCACACTTTCGAATAAGTCAATCACTGCTATTTCAATATAACCCAAAACCTTTGAAAATATCACCATTCCGTATATGGCTAAGGCAAATATGTTTAACCCCCGTTCTTCGTCGGCATGTTGCACTAGGAAATCATGAAAGAACTTCTAAGGTAGGCAAACCTATTCTTGTTTCAGAATCCATAATCTCCTTATCTATCCCCATGAGATAGGCTAAATTTTTATGAATCTTGATTTGTGTTTTTTGATAAATATCTTGTTAGGAGCCTTAAGCTGCAAACCTAACAAAGTCGAATATTCTTCAATAGTGGGTGTAATGTCAATTTCATTGAAGATGAAACACTTGTATGTAGGATCCCAGAATTGCATTGCAGCTCTAATTAGTTGATGGTCGACATTAACTATAAAAATGTGTGCTATATGGCCATGCCTCTAGCAAAACTCCTCTTGTCTAGCTGGGCTCATTTTCTTTCATATATCAACTAAATCCTTTAGATTATTTTGCTTGAGGAAGATAAATGTCTCTTGAGTCAAAGTGGAATCATAGCTAATCGGTAGATAATCCCCTTTCTTTAGTTGAATAATTTCTAACTGCACATTTACTTCGTTGGGTGACTCACAATGAGCTAATACAGATGAAGAGCAAACTAGTCATTCTATGGAGTCCATGAAAAACTTGTCGTTGAAGACTTTCTTTCAGGCAAATGTTCTTTATGCAACTTTATGATACGAGTATTAATCATGCAAACATGAATAAGAAAAGAGGCTAGTATATCAAATAAAGAGAAATAAACAAATAAATACTTAAATAAATTAAAACGTCACACACAATAAAAGGAATGAATCATATGATTCTGGTCAATTTTAAAGGGAAGGAGATGGCTCTATCTATAGGTTAGGCACTTCTAAAGTTCACTATATGTGGTTTGAGGTTAAAATCTAAAGGTTCCTAAATTACTCCTTACATCATCGTCCATTACAAACTAGTAAGGCACCCTAATCCTCACCCATTACAAGCTACAAGCGAAAAAGGTTCAATTTGAGTGAGAGTATTTCGCTAGCCACTATGGAGGCATTAAAACCTCACGAAAGCAATAGATATTTTATTCCCTCCTAAGAGGGATGAAGCTCGGGTTTAGAGCTCATGTTATGCACATGCATATGAATAACATAATTAATAAAGTAAATAAATAGAATGAATAAAAAATCTATACAAAAGGTTCAATTTTATTAGGCTTTTGGATAACACGAATTTATTTGCTGGTCTGACTCTCGGATGTCCCCAATGGAGTCACCAAATTGTCATAACGTTTAAATCTGAGGATCTATCGCTAGATATTGGCTTTAAGAGTCGCCACCAATCTTTTTTATTTAGGTGTGATTGGGCTACCTAAGAAATCTATCCTCTTAAGGAGCACCTAAGCTTGACTAAAGGTCCCTAAGAATAGGTTCGGGTCTACTAACCAGAACAAAGTTCAAGAATTCGGTTACGAGTGAGGAAGGTTATAGCACCCTTATAACGCCCGTCAAAAGATGGTACCAACTCAAATTCGTGTTATCCAATAAGCCTTAAAAATTTTATCAAGTAATTAATTATTGAAAATTATTCTTAATTAACTCCAATACTTTTGGTAGAAAATTAAAAAAATCCCCTCACCTCAAGAGTATACAAGAAAACTACTGCTTCACTTGCAAAGACTCTATTGTCGGATTATTTAACATTAAAAATTTTAAGAAAATAAAATAAAATAAAAATAATAATGATTCAACTTTGGATATAAATCATTTTCTTTTCATTTAAAAAAACCAATTGCTTTTGTACAAAAAAAATTTATATTTTCAACTTTTCCTTAAAATGCTTTTCTTGATAATTTTATTTTTAAGGAAAATTAGTGCTTCCAACTTTTTCCTAAAAATGTTTTTTTTTATGAAATTTTAATTTTGAGAAAAATTGATACTTTTAACTTTTTCTCAAAAATATTTTTAAAAATTTTACTTTCAAGGGAAATTGATACTTTCAACTTTCCCTAAAATATTTTTTTCAAAAATTTTATTTTAAAAATTTTATTTTTAAGAAAAATTGATACTTTCAACTTTTCCTTAAAAAATTTTTTTGTGTTCAAAGGAAATTGATACAATCAACTTTCCTTCAAAAATATTTTTTTTTATCTTTAAGGAAAATTGATACTTTCAACTTTTCCGTGAAAATATTTTTTTTTTGTTTTTGGAATTTTTTTTAGAAAAATCATTAAAAAAATAAAATAAAAATATCAAATAATTATAATCTAATCAATAAATAACAATAATAATAATAATAATAATAATAATAATAAAACCTTGAAACGGATCAGCTTGGCTTAAGAGATAGAAAATGGCTCGACTTGGTGCGGCTCAAGCGGTTCGGCTTGGCTCGATTTGATGACTGAGAAGCAGGTCGAACTCGGGTCGAAAGCGGGTTGCACTACGGGTCGGGTCGTCTGAACATAAACGCGCGGATCCTCTGGGTTTTACTAATGCGAAAACGACATCATTTTAGCTAGGTATAAAAGACGTCGAAAACTGGGTAACTGGTCGAAAAATTCAATTGATGTTAAAAAGTCACCAAAAAATTCAAAGTTCGTCAAAAAATTCTACCTGAATTTGGAATCTCCAAAAATTTCCAAAAAAAAAATCACCAAAAATTCCTCAAAAATTTTCTAAAATTCCTAAGATTGCTCCTGACCTTTCTAACGCCTTTTTTTATTTTTCTTTTCTTCCTCCGTTTTCTTTTTGTGTCCTTGGGTTCTGTTTCAATATCTATTTATAGGAATTGATTAGAAGAGTTTCTAATCAATCCCAATTACATCTGAGATTAGGATTCAAACTTTGAATCCAATCCCAACTCTGTCAGTCTCCAATTTACGACAAAATTCATTCTAATTTTTTCTAATCCTAATCCTAATCCCAGCCAAAAATTGATAAAAAAAATATAAAAATAATAATAATAGATAAATAAATAAAATATACTAATAGATAAATAATAATAATAATAATAATTTAAATTAAATTAAATTAAAATTTAAAAAAAATGAGCCCATATTATCCATTTGGACCATGCCTAATTGATCCAGACCTAGATCAAATTGGGTGTCTACAAGAATCATACTACTTGGATAGGGGGTTTCAAAGGCTCTAAATAGATTGGTGCAATCAAGTGGCTTTTAATGAGTAGATGGACTAATTTAATGTATGTTATGGGAATTTGATCTATGATAATTTTTTCTTTTTTCACCAAATTTTTGGGTTGAGCAACTGGCTGATTTGTAGATGCAAATTTAAGTACAAGTGCTTGAAAATTTGTTTGCAATCATGGTTGCATAATTGGTTAATAAGCATAAGGACTCGGAAAGATATTTTTTATAGTTGGGTAATAAGATTGATACATCCACTTCACGAAAATAAGGATTTTGTGGCTTTTTTTAGCATCATTTTCAAACAAACACTACTAATTGTCATGTCTTTATAAACATAGCAATGTTTTCAATAAAAATACCATTAAGTTTTAAAATTTAACATCGTTTGTAGTTAAAAAAACCACTAAACTTTAAAATTTAGCAGTATTTATATAATAAAATATTATTAAATTATTATAAAAATTTATTATTTCAAAAAAAAAAATTTTCGCTTATTAGCAGCATTTGAACATGTAAATGCCTATAACATTTAAAATTTAGTGATATTTTATATAAAACACTACAAAATGACTATTAAAAATTACTAGAATTTAAAAAATAACATTTTCAAATAGTTAAAACAAAAAAATGAAAACACAGTATTTGCGTCAAATAGGGACCTTTTTGGATAAACCCTTTCATTTTACGAAAATTAGTGACATTTATCGGTTCAAACACTGCTAATTAATCCCCAAAATTTTGAAATTGACCCAGTCCCCTCCATTTCTGCCGATAGCTATGAGTTTTTCCTCCGTTTGCTTTTGATTTTTTGATTTGAAACACCATATTTCCACGCTTTTTTCATTCCTTTTCCTTTCTCTTTCTTTTCCATAAGATTCCTTCTGATTTCTTTTTCTAAAAATTTTTGGGTAATGGGTTGGTATTTAGGGACACCAGATTCCACGTTTTTTTTCATTGCTTTTCCAGTTTGAAACACCATAAGGCATTTTAGGGTAATGGGTTGGTATTTGGGGACATAGTTGGGAAAAAAAATAAAGGGAAAGGTAAAGTTAGTTGGGTTTGTGAGATTGTGGGTATTCAGATGGCCAGTGGTGGGGAGTTTGTCGTGCCTGTGGTCATTCCGGGATGATGAGAAGCCTTTCAGAAGTGGAAACTAAGAATAGAGGCTTAAAATTGAAATTTTAAGTTCATACTGGAAGCTTATTTCATGTGTCTATATATATATATATATTTTTTTTTTTTTTTTTCTGTTTATAGGTTCATTGGTTTTGATTGGTGATGATCCTGGTGTTGGAAAGAGTGCCCTACTTTTGCCGGTTTATTGGTTTTCATTGGTTCATTATCTGTTGGTGCTCGCTCTTTTCTTTTTTTTTTTTTCCTTTTAATTGTCAAATTATGAATCTAAATTTGATTTCTTGTATTTTTGTAGTGGTTTTTATTTGGTTACTGGTAAATGTAGCAAAGGAAAGAAAATTTGGAGTTTAAAATGAATGAATTGGATGTGTGTTTTAATGGATAATGAAGTGTTCGAGTGTTGTTAACTTGTTATAGCTCTAAAGTAGCAAATTTGCTGATATATTTGATTTTTTAATTAATTAATTAATTTAGTTAATTTAAATTTATAGATTCGAGCCTTCGGACGTTTCTTTCATTAGGTGCACAGGGGAAGATCTCTGGTGGAACTCAACCTCCTCGTGATGTCGATGGTAATTTTCGATTCTATTTGATTTGAAAGATTTTCATTTTACTTTTATTTGCAGTTAATCTTGTTTTTTATGGTGATTATGCTTTCATTTCTTTATCCTGGTGTAGTAGATCTATGATTCATGATCTCAGTGGCATTTTGCATACTAATTGCATTCGCTTTATGTGAATGAATTTGTGATTGCATGATTAGATTTTCTAAAGTTTTTACAGTAGGAAAGATCATCCATAACATTGATGACACGTTTGAAATAGCTACTATAGGAATAAATAGATCAAATAGTTAAGCCAAAGTAAATAGATCGAACAGATGAAATGTAATTTTCTCTATGTTGTAATTCAAATGACAAATCTAATTAGCTTATGAGATGAACAATAGTTGTTGTTATGTTGGTGACAAATGACGGCATTTCTATTAAGGTAGATTCATTTTCAAGACTTGCTGGTGGCTTTGATGAACCTCAAGGAAGTGGATGGTTTCGTACATTCACTGTTGCTGTATACAAGCCATACTTCGATGTTGATACTGCAGATGTTTTGGATAGACTTAAGGAGTAACTCTTTCCATTTAGAGGAACATTTACAGAAAAAAAAATCTACCAACCTAGATTTGTGAGTTTTCTCCATGTGACTCATTTATGTTTAAATAGAGTAGTGAGCTAAGCATTGAATAATTGTTGAATGTATATATATGGGAAATTATTTCAGCTTGAGACTGGTAAGTTTCTTTTCTATTTCACTTGATTAGAATATGTTTATTTAGGAATGGGTAGCTAAAACACTATAAAAAGAGCAAAAAGAGTTGATCCTTGACAGGTTTTAATTTCTTGGTTCTGGATAATTCCTAGACATGAAATACAAGTGTGCCCCTGATTTTGCCTTTTTATCACATTAATTTAATAACCTTAACTTTCATGTGACGAAAATATTCCATTGTCTCTTCTGCACCCATCTTTGTCCCTTTTCTATGAGTATGACCATCCATAATTGAAAGTTTTAAATTTTGTGCAGATATGGACCATTCTGGATATGCACCACTCTTATATTTATAGCAACATCTATTGGGACTTTTGTGACATATATAGCACACAAAAGAATGGGATTATAACATAAATTTGGTGACATAGTCTGTTGGTGTGTTCTATGGCTATGTCACTGTGGTTCCTCTTGCCTTGTATGTTATTCTCAAGTAGATGTAAATAACATTTATTGCATTTGCATGCAAAGATGTAAATAATATAATTTTATTTATAATATTCAGTTTATGAAATTTTTTTTATTTTTTTATTTAACTATAGTAGTAAATATTAAAAGAAACATAAGAAAAAGTAAAATTTTCAATTTAACATCGTTTATGTTTAAAAATGTCACTAAATTACTAAAATTAGCTGTGTTTCTAGATACAAACGTTATTAAATTTAGTGATTTTTCTGGACATAAATGCTGCTAATTTGTGTAATTTAGTGGGGTTTGTATATAGAAATACCATTAAATTTAGTGGTGTTTTTGGACACAAATGCCATAAATTTTATAATTTAGCGGTATTTGTGTACATAAACATTGCTAAATTTAGTGGTGTTTTTGGATAAATGCCATTAATGTTTTTTTTTGCCTAAAACATCGTTATTTTTCTCAACGTAGGTTTAGCCAACACTTTTCGTGGTGTTTTTGACAAATGCTACGAATCATTTAGTGGCATTTATAAAAGCCACTAAATGTGAAAAAAAAAAGCCGTTAAAAACTTATTTTCATGTAGTGATCGAATAAAAATAATATAAGATGAAACCTTAACCTATTGCCCCTCATGAATTACAGCTTAAGCATCTCTTTCTTTTTTGGTTTAGCTTATTTCTTCGCATTAGTTGCATCACCACCTTTAAACTTGCCGTTCTTGATTACATGCTCTATGATCTCTCCAGATATCATCATATTAATAAAATTCATAATGGCATTTTCATTCATCCTTTCATAATATAAGACTTTGAGAGTATTGACAAACAAAATCATAGTCTTCTTTTTAGTGAGTGGTAGTTGAACTTGGGTAGTAGCATCCTTCTATCTTTAGGCATATTCTTTGAAACTTTTAATATTTTCTTTACCATGCTTTGTAAGGACATATGATCTAAGGCCAAATCTATGATGTGCTTGTATTGTGTGATAAAGACATGAATGAACAACTTTTCATCATGTGCATGTGCAATCATTTTGCAATAATACATTGTGACATGTATTATAGGATATTTAGTTCCATCATATTTTTTGAACTATGCACCTTGAATTTGGCGGAATCACTGCATTAGGAACTAAGCATAGTCCAACAACAACCACTGATCCATAAAAATTCATCCATTCAATAGTTCTGAGCTTTTCTTTTATGAGGTCTATCTTTTGTTGGGATCTAAAGCTTTCTTTGGTTTATACTGTGTTTATTTTTAACTTCTCTTGTTTTTTTGGATCATCCAAATTAGGAACTTGAGTTGGATCAAATGTTTTAAAAACAAGAGTATGAGATATGTATCCTCAAAAAGAGTAGAAGCGATTGTTAAAGGCATGTCAATATACAAATAAACGTAGCCTCCAGTAAACGTCAATTGATGTTAGGCCCCTTGAGATGCTTTTGGACAACCAACGTCTTTCCCTTATTCAGATTTTTTAGCAATTCAATTATTTTTTCTGGCTATCCCTTCAGTTTGTCTTGTGCTTTTTCTAGTTTTTGGAAGTGAAAAGCACACTCTTTTTCAATGATCCTAGCTTGATATCGAGTGTTGTATCCCCTCAGGTTGTTTGAATATTGAGTTATCCTTGAACATTTATTATCACAATTAAGGCACCATATTGATTGGGTTAAGCTATAAGTGTACAAGCTGTACAAGTAATGATAGTGACATTTTGATCAAGATATTATCTCATAAAGATTAGGAAAAGAATTTTCTAGGCTAAGTATCTATTATCACCCTATTCTTTTACAGTTGAATCGATCACCAAATGATTATGAAAACTAACTATTACAAAAATAAAATTGGATAAAAGATCAAAAGCTTAAAAAATGTAAAGTTAAGTAAATGAGAAAATGGACAAGGATAATAGGCATATAAATGCTATAAAATGTAAAATACAGTAGTTAAATCAAAATAAAAAAAATTGAAATAAAAATGAATTGATGAAAATAAAAAATACAAGTCACATTATATAAACACTCCATTTTGTTCAGGGCTCACAATTGAACTTCGATTTAGGTGGTTCAGGCTTTCGAGGTGTTTATTGAGCCTTTGAAATTTTATTGGGTTTCAAATGAATTTGTCTAATTAGCATTTGGGCTTTAAGCCCAATAGACAATATTTGGGTTGTAAGCCGAATAGGCTAGCTTTTATGTGCACCTAGGCCTTAGCCTAGCAATTTGTATACCCATTTTTGTTTTTTTTATTTTACTTTAAATAAAATTAAATAAAAAGTGGAAATGAAAGAAACAAAATTTTTTGAAAATCCTGTACAAGAGTTTTAAAGCCTATGATCCACGTATATTATGGTGACTTGACCTGAATCGTACCGCACGACCCAATGGCTTGCATTTCATTTAAGCCGAGTGAACTTTCAAGCTGAGCCCCTGAGCAACATTACAACCAACCACCTTCTGTGCCTAAAGTCGAGCTAAGCTCCCCAACTGTCCAACCAAGCCAATTACAGGTTTTTTTATTTTTTATGTTTTTTTATTTATTTGTTATACTTATTTATTTATTTATTCATTCATTCATTTATTATTTTTAATATACTTTTATAAAATATATTTTAAAAAAAGAGAAAAAAAATCTTACCAACATATTGGAAGATAATCATTTTTTTTAAATAAAATTTTACTAACCTATTGGAAACGTTATAACTTTTTCTTATTTCAAAAAAAAAATAAAAGCCTTACCAACAGATTGGAGTGCTATTATTTTATTTTCAAAATAAGTTTTTATCAATATATTAGAAAGCTTTATAATTTTTAAAAAATCAAGTTTTAAAATATAAAATAATAAAATAACATTTCTTGTCTTTTTTGCATAAAATCTTATCAATAGATTAAAGGATAATCTTTAATAAAAAATTTACCAATAGATTGGAGGATATTTTTAGCTATAAATTCGATTTATAGATATTTATTTCTAAAAGCAAAATTAAATGAATCCAACGACAGGGTTTCTTCAAAGCGTGATAAATAATCTTCTTGAATACTCTTGAGGTGAAAAAATATTCTTTAATTATTATTAACATATTAAAGTAATTTAAATAAAATATTTGATATTAAATTATTTGGTAAATTTTAAAAATGTTTTAAGGCTTGGATAACTGAAAGCAAACTTGTACCATTTTTAGATGAGCATTATGAGGGTATATAACATTTCTCATATGTAATTATACTCTCGAACTTATATTTAATTTCATGAATTTGAATCAACTATTTAAAGATACTTATATCAATATTGAGACTTATTTTTAAATACGACAGATTTAGTCGGACGGCCTTAAACCAAAAAATTAGTGGTGACTCCTAAAATCTATGTCTAGCTACAGATCCATGGATCTATACGTTATGATAATTTGGTGACTCCACTAGGGATAATGTGAGAGTCATGCCAGTAAATGATTTTTTGTTATCTAAGCCTAACCTAATAAATTTAAGATTTTTTTCTTTATGTGTATTTAATTTTTTATTTATTCATTTTATATATGTGGCATTCATTTGCATATGCATAAAGCTCCACACTCGAGTTCTGTCCCTTAGGAAGGAGTAAAGTACCTATGCCTTTATGAGATTTTATGTCTTCGCATAGGCTAGTGAAACACTCCAACTCAAATTGAATCATTTCCACTTATAGCCTATAATAGGTAAGGACTAAAATGTCTTACTAGTGTGTGATAGACAATGATGTACGGAACACTTTGAGAACCTTTAAAAATAACTCAAACCACATATAGTTAACTTTATGAGCTTAACCCATAGGTAAAGCCATGTTCTTTTAACCTTTTAGAGTTTACTCTGAATTAATACCATGTTGTTAGTGTATTTATTTTGTTAATATGTTTTATTTTTTGTATAGTGATTAACTAATTTCTTTGTTTTTCTTATCTTGCATATTCATAAAATATTCATACATATTGCATAACATACTTGCTCCAAGGATATTGTCAGCCAAAGCTTTCATGGAATCCACTGAACATCTAGTTTACGCCTCCTCTATGTTCTTTAAGTGTGACTCACCTAATGATGTAAAGGTAGACTTAGAAAAAGGGCAACGAAAGGAAGGTGATTGTTTACTACTAGACTATGTTTCCACCTTGCCAAAAAACGTTCATTTGCTCCTCAAACAAAATGATTTGAAGGTCTTATCAGATATATGGAAAGGTATGAGTCAATCCAAATAATCAACCTTTTATGAGAAGTATGGGCATATTGCACATTTCCTTTTGGTGGTAGTTGAACATTCCCTCATTAGAGCAATGATGCAATTCTAGGATTTTTCATATAGATGCTTTATCTTCAATAAGGTTGACATGACACCAACTATAAAGGAATACTCTACATTGATGGGTTTGCATTTCCAATCACTAGATAAGATATATGTTAGGAGGTAGAAACCAACATTTTATAAAAAACCAGCAGATCTCATGGGAGTTAAAAAAAAAGATGTAAATGTACAGGTTCATGAAAGAAATGACCATATTTGTTTGTCTTAAGAGTTTTTTCATGACTTTATCATAAAATATTTGAATGATGATTAGGAGCTAGATATATTTGTTTTGGTTATATATGGCATGGTAGTTTTCTTAGGATCTTGGGTCATATTACGATAGAAGTGACTAATTTCTTCCGGCATGTGGAAAAAGGTTGCAATCCCTTTCATACAATCTTGGCCAAAACGATTAGATCTTTGGACCATTGTCATCAAAAAGGCAAAAAGCTCTTTGTTGGGTGTGTACCATTGTTATATTTATCAATGAAAAGTCATTTTGAGTATAAGAAAAATGCATTTTCCAAACTATACTTCTGCAATTAAGGAGTTTTGTGACATTGAATGGTTATAGCCCAAACCTAAAGAAGAATGGATGGTTTTGCTACAAGGCCTTACTTTGCACCTAAATGAAGTGATTAGTTCCATGGATGAATCGTGAATCAATGCTATATCAATGTGGAGATGAGACTGGGGTCTCATTTTCCAAGTTTATATAGAGCAACAAGTTATGCATCGCTTATGGTTTGAAAGCAATTT